ACTCAAACGTCAGACTCAATACTGGAGAGTTTCTCATAAACATGCCCGTTGCTGGAGCCATTGAAAGCCCTGGGGTTTTTGTTGTTAGGCACACAGGGGTTGGACTGGTTCCCTATACAGATGTCCTTCTGGAAACGGGCTGGCACAGCCCCATGAAGGGCTGAGACCACCGGCTTGTTGGTGGTGATGATGGCTCGGAAGTCTGGCCTGGCTTTGGGCCCTCCTGCCACCACAGGCTGCCTGAAGAAATAAGATTTGCTGCCGTGGAGCAAGCATTGGTCATCCCCAAAAGTGGGGATGAAAGGGTTTTGGGTGACCCGGTCGGGGTAGAGCGACTTGCTGAGCATGTAGCCCCCGCTGCTGCCGGGGTTGTTGTGGTGGTGGTAGCTGGTGGCGGGCACTGAGGACTTGTTGTTGGCAAAGGTGGTCTCACTGGCTGGCATCTCAAACATGTGGGCGTAGGGGCTCCCCTCCAAAAAGCGGCCCTTGTCCTTGAGGCTGACGCTGCGGGGGGCCAGGGCTGAGTCATCCTTCTGCAGGTCCACAAAGGTGTCATAGGAGTGCTGTCGGCGAAGCTTGTTGCGGTTCTTCTTCTGCACCTTGGAGGCAGAATTGGAAGGGCTCTGAGGATATTTGGAGGAGGAGGTGGCACTGGTGGCCACGGGCACAGGAGCAGGTGGCTGATCCAGCTCTTGAAGTGAGTTGTCCTCACTGATGTCGTACAGGTTGCCCGCTTTCTTGCAGGCCTCGCAGCGGATGCAGGCCTGGCGGGTGGAGTTCTGCCCCACCACCGATGGCGTGTAGTTGTGCAGCTTAGAAGGGCAACCACGGCAGAAATTAGCCCCGGACCGGTCCTCCCAGTCTAGGTTGGTCAGGTTCTTCTCCCATGGCGCCGGGACCCCACTCACAACACCATGCTTGTGCTCGTTGCCTCCGCCAAACTCACCCGAGCCGTGTTTGTGGTGAGCCCTGTTGGTGCAGGATCCACCCCCTCCTCCTCCCGTGTCACGCTTAAACTCATCTCCCCGCTCTTTGTAGATATCCGTCAGGTCCACGTGTTCCCAGTGCGGCGAGTTCTCCTTGGCCCGAAACTGGTCCAGGTAGAAGTCCCGTAGCCCTTCCTTGTCCCTGAAGTAGCGCTTGTGGTCGGGCGAGCGGGGT